GCTGCTACGCTATGCTAAATACAGGTACCTACTAAGGACACTATCACTATTTCAGAAAGAGAATCGTTTTCATTCAGTGTCGTCGGGCATCATATACATGATATCCTTTATTTTATTTTAGGACAACTACAAGGTAGTACAAAAGTGGTTGCAGTAATAACACTTTGATTGCCGAATCTAATTCAATGTCTGGTAGTATGTTCTTTAAGCAAACTGAATGAAATATTAAGGTCATTCGAATAATACTCGAGCAAATTATACAGTCGTATCCATATCCCATGAGATTGATTACCCAGGTAGCAGATACACGAGGGGGAAATAAGGTATTAAAATTTCATTAAAACTGTGTTTGCATTTATATTATCCTGTGACCTTTGTGAACATTCATACGGTTATGTATTTATAGACATTGCTAACATAATAATTTGAACACGAGCGTGAATATGTATCTCTGATTGTGTTCTATTCTGCAATAATTATCAGATGCAGTGAACAGAATGAAATGTCAACACTGTTATTTGGTTTTTGCCATTTCATAAATGTCCAGACGTCTACGCACCAAATTGGAAATATCCAATTTCCAAACTTTTAAGTGTAAAAGTTTAAATTATATAAATTACGTACCTACTCTACTGTAAAAAAAAAATACCAACCTTAGCCAAAAGTAAACAAATGACATTAAGTTTTTAAACATCAAGATACCTTGAAATAGCAACCTCGAGTTGTCGAGTATCTTAAATACCTGTCCTTCTAACTAATCCTACTCAAAGTGTAAAAATTAAAAATAACTTTAATTTTTGAACCAAAATAAAACGTTTTTGTCGCCATAATTATAGCAACATCGTTTTTAAACAGTCAGTGTTTGAATTACCTGTGCCTCTAACATCTATATTTTCCACCGAAATACTACAAACTTAGCTTTCTAGATGGCGTTAGAATCGTATTAAAACAATCTACGGTTTCATTACAAATGAAGTTTACGAAATATAGAACCAGAGATAATCAGCACACTTCTAATTAATATAAATACTTAAACATTGGTATATAGTTTGACAATAATATTATTCAGCGTGTGATGTAGAGAGCTATGCTCGAGGTTTCTTTGCGCGACAAAATCCGAATTATGGAAATTCGCCAAAGAACTAGAGTTAACGACATAGCTCGCAAAATCTGCAGACTGAAGTGGCGATGGGCAGGCCATGTCGCTCGAAGGAATGGTGGCAGATGGGCCAGAAAAGTCCTTGAGTGAAGACCACGGGCCGGAAGAAGCGTGGGCAGTCCTCCCGCTAGGTGGACCGACGACATCGCCAGAGTTGCGGGGAGCCAGTGGAGCGAGTGGTTGTTCAACGTGGAAGACTAAGGAGGAGGCCTTTGTCCAGCAGTGGACGTCTTCCGGCTATTGATGATGATTACTCAATTACGAGTAGATGCCATTTATTTCTACACGAGTCATACCATAATTAAATGCTAGAACAAGCGCGTTGGCACAGAAATAATCGTATTCAATACATCGTCTCAAACACTCAACGGTACACTGCATATAATTCCAATTACCGATGACATGTGTCCGCCATCACTTGAACATTTATCTGCTGATCTAAAGATATCTTTACACGACGAACATATTCTCTCGAAGCATAAATAGTTAGGGAGAACCGTATTGTATGATAAGATTGACATTATATGTATTTGTAATATTATTCAATATTTGCATGCCGTAGGGGATATATTGGGAGTACTTATAAAACATCTTGTTTATTAATATAATAATAGAATAATATAATAGGATATTACGAGTTGCGGATGTTATTACTAGTAAAGATGCAAGACATGACAATAACATTTATTCGATGAAACTGTGTATAATGAAAAAACATAAGAGTTTTATCATAATTGTGTATACGCAAGATGAAATTTTGAATTTTTTTATGGGTATGTAGGTAATGCAGGTACAATATTATACCTACTTATTATTATTATATCATGCTAGTCACTATTTTTATGATCAAATAGATCCCTATTATGTATGTAAACCACAGAAATATTAAAAAAGAAAATAAATTTAAGAAACTAAATTTCTTTATTATACCTATGGTGTAAACCCTTAGTAGGTAGTAGTAGGTGGTCTTACGTGGAGAATATTTTCATCTTTTATCTCAGTGACATAATGATAATGAATCCAAATGGGTGATGAGCTAGAATAGAGCGACGTCAATCATATACAAAAAACATGTTCGCAAATAGAATTTCTGAAATGTCAACTATACCTATAAATCAAACAATGGTGACAATTAATTGAATATTAAAATGTAATCTAACTCTCGGCTTTGCGTGTAGTTAGCAATGCTAATTAGAATTAAACCATTCAGGGCATTTACTCTGGAAATGATCACATCAAGACATGCTCCACTTCCTCTCAATCCTAGTACCTACATTCTTTAGACTTTTCCACGGAAATCTTACATTTTTGAGGCAACACAATAATATGACAAATAGTACCCAGATAGGTTAAGTACCTACAACATTTGTTACATTCACCCAGATGCTTTGAGGAAACTACTTAGGTAAGATGACAATTTGAGTACTTATACTTATTTAGTTATACATGACAAACTTGTGAATAATTCATGCACAAAGGATTCAAATAACCTAAAAAATATTTTTATAATGACATGTATTTCGTATCTCCACTACCTGCTAAATAAATGAAATGAAGTTAGCGTAGCCAGTGTAGTAGTAGTGTTTTATAGAAATAAGTTGGAAGTAGACAAAATATTGTGTCTAAATCCCAAAAGTTACATTATTCGTCTACTGAGACGTGCTTTTTTAATGGAGGCCCAAGTTATCTAAGAGCTATATATTACGAAACATTCATTTGTATGTGACACAGTTTAGATATTTATTGGTTTTTCAACGAAAATAGTGAGTAGATATAAACCAACAGCCTGTATAATGGTCAATGAAATCCAGTCTAATGGATGTGTTAATATATTTCGTTCACAAACAGAAAATAGAACACGCTATATTCTACACTCTACTGCGAACAAGGACATCTAGTTGGAAGTCCTTCATTGTAGATAATTGTTCGTCTTTCTGTGAGTATTGGACGATTGGATTCATGACGTTGCTAATACAACTTACATGGTTTTAAGTTTCAATTTTATAGCAGTAGCTAAAAATATCTCGTGTTCCTTGAACAAATAGCCTAAGTAAGTAATACTTTCATTCAAAGACAAAGTCCAAGCATTTATTTCAATTAATTCTTAATCAAGCACTTTTGAAACGTTAAAAATTGATTATCCGTCCGACTGCCTAGCAGTGAAGCTAGGCACTCATTCCAACGTGTAATTTCGAAGAACGACCAAAAAAACTCCATAAAATCATTAAAAAAAATGTTTTTACAATCTCATTAATACATTATAATCTCTGATGCTTTACCTGTTGTGTATATCTGAGAACGATGTAACGACAGTACTTTCACCATTATCCATTTAGCTACTATGAACGTATTAGAGCTAATGTAATAGGGATGAGCCTATTGTTGGCCTAATGGGAGCACCCCGTGAGCATATTGCATAGGTGATTTGCAATACCGAATCTCGGACATAATAGTTATAATATATTAGATAATAATATGTTATGTAGACGGATATGTCGTCTTGATATAAAGTGGTTACTTTTACTGACGCAACACCTTAAAGTCCCAGGTAAAGCGAATAAAACATTAACATTAGGTAGGTCCATCTACATAACATAACAT